TTTATGTTTTTTCCTTATTTTTTTTTTCATTTTTAAATGTTTCAGTATAACAGTATCTGTTACATCTTTTAATTTTAGAGCCGTTTCAATAAAAAAACATCATCTCTCGACATTTTGTACTGTATTATTGTTCTTACACAATAAACAATTCAACACAACGAACAATGCAGCTATCTACGTATTGTCCAGAATTAGATACAAAATATAATACTAATCTATTTTTAGTAGAATACACAAGCAGCAACATCAAATTATATCTCATAATAGAAACATCGCAACAACTTCTCTAACAAACCCCCGAAACTCGGACACTAGCCCGTAGAATACGCAATGAAACTAGGTAAATCGTGGCCGTTTTCTAGGAATTGGGATCCCTCGTTAAATGTGACCACTCCAGACGGTTGTAAGGGAAGTAATTAGAGCCATGAAGGTAGCATACTAACTTAAACGAGATGGCCGAGGCTTAGCTAATAATGAAAGTAAAGGGTTGATTGCCCTTTGAGTAGTAGAAAGGTTCTAATACTCTTTCGGGCTACCCCAGTACTAATTACGCGGGATCGCTTATATTAGTCTAACTAGTAATGTAGCTTTATTTTGTTCGGTGTATTTTTAACAATAATATTATTAAACTTTTATAAATAAAAAACTTAAAAACTTTCTTTATGAATATTTTTGATGTTTCTGCACCATAAATCAATATTGAAAACACACATTGTTTAAAGACCTTTGTTTTTAAACATATTTGTATATGAAACCACATAATATCTTTATTATCAATCAGTAAATCGCGTCAACTGCTGGACATAGGCCTCCCTAAGTTCTTTCCAGTGTTCTCTACACTGGGCCGCTTGTAGCCAGTTTCCCGCTACACGTTTTATATCATCGGTCCATCTAGTCGGTGGTCGTCCTCGACTTCTTCTATAGTTTCTTGGCCTCTATTTTATAATACGTCTTGTCCACCGTCCATCTTGCTCCAGAACATGGTTTTTTGCCTGGGTTATCCACAACTAGTAATCTGTGCATTTTTTCTAATTTTGCTAGTGAGGCAATAAATAATAAACTCCAATTAGATTTAATAATGACTGACTGCTCAAAGGCATTTGATATGGTTGACCATGGCATTCTTTTATCGAGATTGAATGAGTTTGGTTTTTCGCATGATGCTTGTACATTTATAAAATCGTATGTGGAATCAAGGTTTCAACTAGTCAAAATTGGTAGGTGTTTGTGTTTATCAGATAAATTTCAGGCTACATCTGGTGTCCCCCAAGGGAGCAACTTAGGGCCTTTGTTTTTCTTAATTTTTTGTCAACTCACTACCACAATCTCTTAAATTTTCTTCTAGTCTGATCTATGCTGATGATTTTAAGCTTTTTAAGACTATACATACTTCAAATGATTGTCAGTTACTACAGGAGGACCTGACCTCAGTTGTGGAATGGTTTAGGGACAACAATATGATCTTGAATATTACGAAGTGTGAAGTCATATCCTTCACTCGCAAAATTGATTACATTGAAAATAATGATAGAATTGACAATTGTGTAGTATCTAGGAAAACCAAATGTAAAGATCTGGGAATATACCTACAGGCTAACATGAAATTTAATGAACACTATATAAATATTGTCAATAAGGCCTACAAAATATTGGGATTTGTAATAAGAAATTCTAAACACTTTAGTATAAACACAACCATTAGACTATATAACGCTTTAGTCAGACCAAACTTGGAATATGCATCAATGGTATGAACTCCTGAAGCCAAAGTTCATATTATGCATATAGAAAAGGTACAAAAAAGATTCCTAAGGTATTTATACCTTAAGAAATACAATGTGTATACTCACCTTACGCCATCAAAAGAGTTGCTTCAAATATTTGGCTTGCAGTCATTAGAGCAAAGAAGAAACATGTATTGCGTTGTGTTTATTCATAATATCATTAACATAATATCATTAACATATCATTAAATATAAGACATGTGGTTTGATAAACTTTATTAGGTTTCATGTGCCAAAGGTCAACCTAAGGGTAAACAGTAATGACCTATTTTCTTGTAGTCCTTATAATTCAGGTGCAATAATAAACTATATGCAATATCAGTGCAATGAGTTAATAAAGATCTGTAATATAGACCTCTTTACCTGTAGTGTAAGGGATATTAAAAAATGTTATAAATAAGTATGATAAGTAATGGACTCAATTTCTAATATTTTAATAACTTGTGTCTTTTTATCAATGTGTTTTATTTTGTGTGTTTTTATTTTGTACTTGTGTGTATATTGTATTTTTTGTGTGTATATTGTTATACCAAGTAATGAGCACTCTTACATGTAATTACTACCTAGGTGGTGTTTGTAAGTTTTAATAAATAAATAAATAAATAAATAAATAAATCTTGTGTTCTGGCTAAGTGCCCTGCCCAGTTCCACTTAAGCATCGTGGTTGTTTCGATGACGTCTTGAACTCCTGATCTTTGCCTGATTTGTTGGTTTGTTATGTGGTCCCGAACGCTCACGTTTAGCATTGCATATTTCATGGCTCGTTGTGTAACTCTGAGTTTATTCGCAGATTTTTGCGTGAGTGTATAAGTTTCTACTGCATAAGTTTGTACAGACAAAATTGCATGTAGGCCTATTCGCCTCTGTATTTCATGTGTTTGATTGTCTCTGCTTATTTTGATCTCGTGTCTCAGATATTTGTAAGTGTCTGTTTGTTGTATGGTATTATTGTCAATAGTTATATTTCCACTCATTACGAGACTTGTCATAAGTTTAGTTTTCTCAAATTCTATCTTTAATCCTGCTCTTTCAGACATACTTTTAAGCGAATGTATCAAAGAAAATGTATCCTCTAAGTTATCTGCGATTAATACAACATCATCTGCTAACCTTAGATGATTTAATCTGTCTACATCTATATTGATGCCCATATCTTGACATTGAGTGTTCTTAAATATTAACTGTAGAGCTGCCGTGAACAATTTTGGTGAAATATGGTCTCCTTGTCTAACTCCTCGACTTAAGCTGAATTTTTTTGTGTCTATGTAGTCGTATACTTGATGTAGCGTTCTCGTAGATGTTTTTGATTAGTGTCGTGTACCTGTAATCTATTCGGCTTTGATTTAGTGCTTTCAGTACTGTTTCAAACTCTACAGAATCAAAAGCCTTCTCGTAATCGACAAATACAAGAACCAGTGGTATGTTGTACTCGATGCAATTTTCTATTAAGATCTTTATGGTATGCAAATGGTCATTTGTGCCATACCCTGCCCTGAAGCCTGCCTGTTCTTTGGGCTGATAGAAATCAATTTGTACATATGTGTCAAGAGGCTGATGGGTCTACAATTTTCAAATTTAGCAATATCGCCTTTTTTTGTGTAACAACACTATCACTGCATTGTTCCAGTCTTTTGGAATCTTACCCGTATGTAAGCATCTATTAAACAGTGCGCTTACTGATTTTAATATAATATCTTAGTGTATCAAAATACTTCCGTAGTTATTTTATTAGTCTTTTAATTTTGAAAGGTGAAAGATGAAAGAAGACGATTATCTCGAGTAGGTTCGTGGCCTAAATAGAGAAACCTTGGTAAATTCAGACCTCTGTTGATAATTCGGACCCCTAATGCAGTTTCGTACGAAGGTGCTGCTGCCAATGGAAAAACAGCGTCAACCTTTACTTGACATTGCCGGATGTCGAGGCCACAGCATAGGGAACCTAGTTATTTTTGTTACTTATGAAATATTTGCAGTGATCCTGTTTATTATTTTCCAAGTTTTTGAGTAAGGTTAGTTTCAGACCTCTTGGAGTTTTTAATTCGGAACCATTTTATTTCAAATTTGGTCCCCCAGTAAAAACGTTCCACTATTATGAACTAATGCCGAATGTTATAGTTGTAAATTAAAATACCATGCCGAAGACTACCAAAGAAAAGTAGAAGAGGTTGTAGAAGAAGGAAAATATGACAAAGGCTATAGAAGCCACTAGGGCAAAAATAATGGGATGGAAGAAGGCTGCCAAGACTTTTGAATGACCCAAGACCAAGCTGATACGTTTATCAATGAGAGAAACATATGGAGAACCAGCAGAAGCAGCTTCTGTTAGGCCAGGAAGGCCTACTGTCTTGCTTCCTGAATTAAAGGAACAGTTGATTAAGTATTGTTTCGACATGGAATCTACATTTTTAATTTGACTAGCCGAGACCTTCGGTGGATGGCGTATCAACTGGCTAAAAGGAATGGTATAACACACCCTTTTGTTAAACATAACATAGTAGATAAAGCTTAGCTAGACCTATTCATGGAAAGGCATAAAGGCCGACTTTCAACCCATAAGCCAACAGGAACCTCATTTGCAAGAGCTGTAGGTTTCAACAAAGAAAATGTGTCAATGCTTTTTGACAATATTGAATACGCGTTTAAAAAACACAGCTAACCAGCAAAGTAGTTCAGAGTGAAGTAGAACCAGTGATTGGTCTCTGAGAAAAAAAGGTTACATCAGCAGAAAGAGGTATCCTAATAATAATTGTATAATTAGTAAGTGCTGGTGGCGAATATGTTCCACCCATGGTAATATTTCCTTGGAAATACATAAATGCTCAGTTGTAAAAAGAAGCTCTTGTAGGTGCTGTATGTCACTTGCAGCTATCAAGATGGATTACAACAGAACTGTTTACAAAATGTTTCGACTATTTTTTGAGCACTGTAAAACCTTTACTGTTCTCCTAGTCTTTGATGGGTATTCAAGCCATACCAGAAATATTGACATTATCGAGAAGGCTAGACAGAACCATGTTACAATAAACTTTTTACCGCTTCATTCAACTCATAAGTTGCAGTCCTTAGAAAAGTCTTTTTTGTCTCCTTTAAAGACTTAATATATTCAAAATTCTTATAATTCAAAAATATTCAAAATCAAAAAGACTTATTATATTCTAATTTCTCCAATAGTGTGCTCATGATTAAACTGCCAACTAATCTTGAACCATCTGCAAGTCAAATCTGTAAATTGGTAGTTGGTTGGGAATTATCTAATTTCAGTTGTTCTTTAGCATTCGCCTCATTATTGTGTTTATCTTCTTCTTTGTATTTGCCAACAACTGCCGGTGCTGGGCTTCCTAAAGTATAACTGTGTTCTTGGAATGCTTTTAGTTTAATTTTATTCTGTTTAAAAGCCTCCATTTGATGATTTTTCATGGTTAAATGAACTTCTGATGCACCTCTTCGCAGTTTTCTTCGCAAGAAGAAGACATTGGTTCATGAACGATGGGGACTGGTACTGAAGTCATTGTCATCTTGGTCCAACTTATATTCTGTTCCTCTAAATGCTCTAGAACTAGAGATAGAAGTACTTGGTTTCAGTATTTCAGCTCCATGTTCTTGCACTGACTTAAACATGTCTGCAATGCAGTCCTTCTTTTTTGGAGGTCCTAAAACTTGTTGGCCACTAGTATCAGAGCCTTCGGCGTAATAGCTTGACCCTCTTATTCTTCATCTTCACTAAAGATATTAATAGTGTTGTTAATAGTAGCAAAATTGGATGGTTTACTTTTGAGTTTAGGGTTTTGACTAATACTGGATAACTTAGGGTCGATTGTTCAATTGGAGATTATCTTCAGATTAAAAATAATCTTCAATTAAACTTAATATAGCGTTGTTCAATGCAAGTTTAGCACTTAACCATCTGTTAACCAGAGATTACCTTAATCGCCCAAAAACGAAGGATTAACGGTGTTAACTAGAGATTTGTAACCTTACTTTCTAGTTTTAAATTAAATATTGTCTCTTGACAGTTCTAGATTATAAAATATTACAAAATTATAGATTATAAGCTATTATAATTTTGTGTCGATAATAATAATTATGGCTATTGCAATTTAAAAAAATTTTGATATTGCATTTTTTGCAATTTAAAATACAAAAATAATCACTTATATAAATCTCAAATAAACACAACATATTCAAAGTGCAAAATGAAATGTAATGTAAACACAACGTCAAAGTCATTAACTTTTATATACGTACATAATATGAACACCAATTTTTATACCACAGAACACATTTATCTTTATAATTTTTATGACAAAATTTGTTCCAAGCCGTTAATTAATAACTGGCAACATTGTCACCGCTACAGTACTTGAGTTTAATAAATTCGAAAGTTAACATGCATTGAAAAACTTTTTAAGAAATAATCTTTCAATTAACTTTAATCATTGTTTACTTAATCCATGAGTTAACTATTGATTCAACAACTGGGCCTTAATGTATTAAGTATTAATTAATTCCACTTAAATGTAAAAAAATGTTGTGTTATAAGTTGTTTTCGTAAAGTTAATAGAATCGAAACAAGCTTATATATCTATATATATATATATATAATATATATATATATATATATATATATATATATATATATATATTGTTACGATTTTAAATGTTATGGCATATAGAACTGTAAATATTTTATGACTAATTCTTTTTTATTGATTCTCGTAATTTGTAGGTCAAAATATACCTGAGCTTAGCTACCAGTTGTTTACCAGAAATCTCTAGACCCTAATTTTAGTGAGTCATCCACGTCTCGAGGTTGAAAAACGAGTCGAGCGCCTTCACCAAAATACGAGATTATTCAGGAAGTTGGCCGAAAGTTCCAGTATTTTCGACAATGGTCAGGTCAGGTCTAGGCGGTCTTACGGTTCTTTATATAAGAACGAAATTTTATTGAAGAGGTCAGTCATAAGAAGATCGGTAAACGCGGTACTTGTAACGAAACGTGAAATAAATACATTTGTAAAGTTATTTAATAAATTAGTAATTAGCCATCGTGAGTTTTAATAAATTAGATTATAGACAATAAATTAGAATAAAGACAAATAAATTCGAACTATATAAATATACAACATTTGGTGTCAGGTGTGGGGTACCGGTAAAGCAAGACATGGTGTTACCACTGAAGAAAGGCAAGATCTACTCGCGCTTCCCGATGACTACTCACTGGCCCTTACCATCCCGGCCAGTATCAAAGATGCACCAGGGTTGGCATCCGTCTTTCGAAGGAAGTTTGGTCGAGTTGCAGAACTTCAATGCCAAGTGCCAGCTCCTGGTAAAACCTTGAAACTTCAAGATGCATCACGTTACCTTTTCTACCTGGTAACAAAAGACACTGCCCGTGACCAACCTACCTACCGAGATGTATGGGAAGCCTTACTTCAGTTGAGAGAGCACGTACTAGAGTCCGACGTGCAAAAGTTAGCCATGCCAAAGTTGGAGTGCCGCCAATTAGATTGGAGGGTTATACGAAACATGGTGGAGGAAATCTTTAAAGACACCGAAGTCCAGGTGTTAGTCTGTTGCAATCCGCATAGTTACTGCTGCGGAGAGAAAACCGTCCCTTGTCATTTCTATACAACTGGAAGTTGTAAAAGAGGGTCCAGTTGCCGATATCAGCATGTCGTTCCAGTTCCAGTCCCGACAAGGTTCCAGGAGGAACCATCTTTTAAGAGGGGGGCAATGTTACGATTTTAAATGTTATGGCATATAGAACTGTAAATATTTTATGACTAATTCTTTTTTATTGATTCTCGTAATTTGTAGGTCAAAATATACCTGAGCTTAGCTACCAGTTGTTTACCAGAAATCTCTAGACCCTAATTTTAGTGAGTCATCCACGTCTCGAGGTTGAAAAACGAGTCGAGCGCCTTCACCAAAATACGAGATTATTCAGGAAGTTGGCCGAAAGTTCCAGTATTTTCGACAATGGTCAGGTCAGGTCTAGGCGGTCTTACGGTTCTTTATATAAGAACGAAATTTTATTGAAGAGGTCAGTCATAAGAAGATCGGTAAACGCGGTACTTGTAACGAAACGTGAAATAAATACATTTGTAAAGTTATTTAATAAATTAGTAATTAGCCATCGTGAGTTTTAATAAATTAGATTATAGACAATAAATTAGAATAAAGACAAATAAATTCGAACTATATAAATATACAACAATATATATATATATATATATATATATATATATATATATATATATATATATATATATATAGTCATACTTTTTCTTTTCCAACCAAAGAAAAATAAATAAAAAAATCCATCGAAATAAAATTTCAAGATATCAATATAAACAAATTGTATATAGTAATTTAAGATAAGATTTAGTGTAGATAAAAATAGAAATTTATAAACGACCTTTTTCCGTTTCAAACAAAATTATCAAAAAACCTTTGTTTAGAATTACAAGACATTTTACCTGTAAGTTAATCTTTTCATTGTTTGTATAGTCGAGTATTAAATGACCATATTTTAATCTTTTGAAATATGTATAAATGATGTATTAAAAAAAACCAATTTTAAAGTAAGCTATTTAGTTTTCTCTGAAACCGAAATTAGGCTTTTCCAAAATCATGGTAAACACAATTTAAGCTTTTTGATTGGACGGTCGTTTTTTAAATGGGAATTTGGTGAATCGATCATGAGAGAGGAGAAGTTAGTCATATTTTGGTCATCGAAAGGAAACAGTCGTTTGTCTCAAGATAGGGGTGGTTCGTGAGTTTGGATACCGGCGTAACGAAAAGAAGTGAATAGTTTGAATAAGGAGATAACAAGTGGATTAAAAGAGGTCCTTGTATCTACCGTGGGCATTTTATAAAGTATATGTGAAAGTATTCTTACGGCAGCAAGTTGACAAAAGGAGGTCCTGGTGTCATAAATAAGTAGCGAAGTTTGGAGAAGTGAATCAGGTGTTTTTTGTGTAGTCTGAAGGAGGTTTGCAGAGACGTAAAGAAGGAGCCGAGGTGCCAAAGAGGGGAGATCACATATTTGAGGAGACTGGATTTTTCTGGGTATGTTCCAACATACAACTCAAGAAGAAAATAAACTGTAAGTGTTTGTACAATTGAATTTTATATCTGTGAAGGATCGTTTCGACATCATGGTCATTATCATTAAAATTTAAGAACTGTGGTTTTGTTAGGCTAATCAAAAGTTTAAAGTTTTGTGGTTTCTTTTTTCGAGTAAAGAAAATTTTAAGTAAAATTGGTTTTTCACGTAATATAAATGTATGTAGCTTTATAATCTTATTATCATAATAATTTGATTTATTTTCTTGTATGCTGATTGATAAGATAACGACAGAATTTAATAATTGTTTTATTCGTTCATATAAAATAAAGAAACGTAAATCTCTGTAATATAATATATTTGTATTCTTATCCTTTTCTTCTCTATCCCGATAAAAGACAACTAGAAAATCTTTTGGATCCATCACAGGTAATATAAGGATTATTTTACTTTTGATAACAAATAAGTTATAATTCTTTTTTATTGGCTCAATAAACTAAGTTTGAACTCAAAATAAACAATCATAACAATATATATATATATATATATATATATATATATATATATATATGTTAGTTTGAAGTGTTTCACGGATGGAGTAATATGTTGAACAATTATTCCGGGAAAATTGTTGAACAATTATCCGTTGAAAAATGTTGAACAATTATCCGACCAACGGATATTTTCCCGGAATAATTGTTCAACATATATATATATATATATATATATATATATATATATATATATATATATATATATATATTGGATTTGAAGTTTCCGCGGGAGCTATATGTGATTTCAGTTGTTTTCCGGGTTTGACTCCGCGTTAAGTAATTTTGGTTTTTAGAAAAACCATTGTTTTTGGTCCAAAACCAGGAGAACTGAAACATCAAGACGAAGCAGAACTAATCTGACTTGACAATGGCAAGTGTGACCTGGCCGAAACGTCGTCAAAACAATGGTTTTTCTAAAAACCAAAATTACTTAACGCGGAGTCAAACCCGGAAAACAACTGAAATCATATATATATATATATATATATATATATATATATATATATATATATATATATATATAAATAAGGATCACTCAGATGAGTGGTGGGTTCAATCGGTCAACTAGGTGGAGAAATAAAAGACAAAGTTGATACTACTTCATCTATTTTGAAGACGTTTCGCTATCGAATTCTGATAGCATCATCAGTTCATCTAAAAATTTTTACATTAGAGTACCACACATTCATGAAGAAGATGTTAAATAGTTACCTTAAAAAAGATATGTAGTTGTCAATGGTAGATATATATATATATATATATATATATATATATATATATATATATATATATAT